GCAATGGTCATTGCCAACTAGTCTTCATATAATAATTCATCATTCCATTTTGTCCATCGAGTAAGTTTTCTTTATTTTTTTCCTTATTACATATATAATTTTCAACGGTGTTCGTAACTAAACGTTACCAACCGTGATCAAAATTATATATTCTTTTCTTTAAAGGCTAGTCATAATCTTCAACGGTGATTATAACCATCGTGTTATCAACCGTGATCAAGATTGCTAGTCTTTCCTAAATATTCCTCTTTAATCCTTTGCAACGGTGCTCGTAATAAACGTTTTACCAACCGTGATCCAAAGGGTTAGATTCCACCACTTATACAATACAGTTCATCTTCAACGGTGATCATAATCTCCGTGTTATCAACCGTGATCGAGATAACTGTCTTTTTGTAAAAATCCCTTTAACCTTTTTGCAACGGTGTTCGTAACTACTCGTTACCAACCGTGATCCAGAGGGTTATACTTTTATTTCACCCCAAATTAAATAGTTTCTAAAATAAGACTGATATAGTAGTTAGTTTATTAATATATGTATATATTCATCTTTATATAAAAATAAATCAGAACAAATCGATTAGTCGAACAATTTGTGTTATATTTTTTTATATTTAAAGAGAACAAACGTAGAAACGTTTCAGGATCTGAGATTTTTTTCTGAGTTAAGAGGGCTGAAAATCATATTATTATTATTGCAAATATAAAAAGATGATATTATCATACAATTTGTGTAAGACTGTATAAGTTGAAAAATAATTTATTAAAAGAAAACTTCGCTTACCAAAATAACTATGAAATATTCTCAAGATAAACTTTGACAGGGAATATAACAGGGTCACAATATATGAAAGGTATATTTCTCCATACCTGTGAATAAATATTATTTATATGTAACCAATATTGTACACCTTTTTTTTTAAATAAATTTAATGTTTATAATTTAGTCACAATAATATACTTAAAACTATTTAGATAAATCATTCTAGCGCGTGGCTATCTAATATTATATCTTGCATAACCGTATTTCATTGTAAATTGTACTATGACATTTTTTATATAATGTTATGGATTTATGAAATAATTATTACTAAGCTTGCTACAAACATTATACGCTAAAAAATGTAAAGTTAGTTTTTCGTTTTATTGTGTTAACGTAAGTGTTCCAGCAGATCCTGACAATTTGTAAGTTTAGTTCAAGTCTGTTCTTGATGAAACCTCTTACTCGCATCCCAACAAAAATACATTATTTTCTTTAAAAGTATCTCTATCACAAAGGGTTTTGTATATTATACTGAATAATATTAGTTGGCGAAACAACAGTGACTACTCACTAACACTTATTCCGAGTTCAATAATTAAATCACTTATTTAATATATTTAACTTTTTTATTTCAGTTATTATATAACTGTCTATATGTAAATAACTATAGGACAATAACTCAATCGATATCGAATTAATTAGTTAATATAATAAGTATATAATGTTTTTAAACTTTTTCAAGTAATTTTTTTTCCATATTATATAATTTACAAATAATATTCTAACTACAGTAAAGAATTTTTTAGGGATTTGAGTAGAAGTCTACTAGTATATAAGTATATACTATACTTGTAAAACTTTGTTTTTTTTTGCTATAAAAACAAATATTATGAATTTAATACAATATTTTGTTAGTAAATGACATTTAAATTTTTAACATAACTTAATTTATTTATTAGAAATAAAACTTAAAAATTCAAATCTTATAACTAATATACGTGTATAATATATGAGGGATTACAAATACAAGTAGATATTTACTTTTTTACTACGTCACTATTCTCAGATATTCAGTTTTTATTGTCAATTATGATTTCATTGACAGATATGCTTTTTGTATTGCCAGTTAGTTTATTCATAAATGTTATATCATAACAATGTACCTTACTACCACACATTAAGCATAACACAGTATTATTATTATTAATACTAAAATAAAAGTTAGTTTATTTTGCTATGAATTAAAAAAGAAACATGTATTGCTAGTAAATTTGTTACTAAATTTTAAATTGATTTTTTTTTTATTTATGCGATTGTTTATATGATAATTAATTAACAATTATATTATGTGTTTATTCATCTAGATACAATAAGAAAAATGAAGACATTTCATACTTAAAGTATAATGAAAATTGATGGTTTTATTATTGTTATATTTTAGAGAAAAAAAATCAAAAAAATTGAATCATAATAATTAAAAATTTTTCTAATTATATATCACTTATGATGAATTTCATTATATCATTTTTTTTTAATTGCCTAAAACCATTTTAAAATAAAAAAATGCTTATTTTTGCCTTAGTGTTTCCAAATTAACCTCTTTTATCAATAATATATTTATGTAATAAAAATTGATGACTTGTGGCTAATATTATTTAAATTTAAAACTAAAAAATATTAAACTGAAAAAGCCACAAAAGAATTACTAAAAAACAGCGGATACGTATTGCGGAAACAATGTTACCATTATCAACGTTAAACACATACTGACCAGAAAAGCCCTTGCACTCTTAGACTATGTTAAAAGAGTATTTTTTACTATTTATTATAAATAATAAAAAAACTGAATAATAATTTTTACGAAATTACAAAATAACCGTCTTTTTATGTTTTTCTTATAATAAATTTAGATGGGCTGAACACCTAAAGGATAAGAACTTATTAAGTTACGAACATTTTAATACAGAGAATAGGTATCTAGTATGTGTGTGTCAGTTAGTAATGATGTATGTTTAAATCGCATACTTCAGCCACAAGTACTTATCCTAAAGTTGTTTTCAACCTATCTAAATTTATTGTTTGAAAATCATAAAAAAATGTTATGATTATCAACGTTAAACACACACTGACACCTCGACTAGAAAAACTCCTTTATATACCCCTAGTTATAAATATATATATATAAATTCTAACTAGTCCATTTGAGATGCCCGGATTATAATAAAATGGGTTATCTAATTACTCTTTGTCCCCCCACACTAGTGAGTGGTGTATTAGCTAACTTCCTTTCTTTATTCTACTTTTTTGTTCGGACTAACTTTGAAATAACGTATTCGTTATACTCATTAGGACTAACTATTTCTTTTATAATTCCCATTTCCAAAATTAAAACATTTAAGAATTTAAGTAAAATCACCTATACTATAAAGGTTATTTATTTAGTAAAACATTATTATGACTATAAAGTGTCAAATTTTGATATTATTATTTTTTTTATAATATAATAATCATTTTTAACGATACTAAAATGTTATATAACTATTATTAAAATAACGTTTAATTATTAAAATAATACTACCATATTAATATTTTATCATTATATTACAGCGTTTGTAATTAATTTACAATGTTAAAGTATTATTATTAGTCATTATAAAAATAGTTTTATTATAACATTATATGATATTGAAATTTTGCAACCTGGGATTATTTCTATTTGCAAAGTGACAATGTTAACTACGCCCTTTTTTTGGCTCTCTCTCTCTCTCTCTCTCTCTCTTTAATAACATGCTGCGACTCCTGATAGTACAATTGCTTATTAATTTATTATATCTTGTATTAGAATATGTTTAAAAAGAAATAATTTATTGATATAATATGTTATATCTGTTATTTTTTTGCATTAAATGAATTATATTTTCATTTAATCGATCTATAAATAAATAAAAATTATTTTTCTTTATCAATAATAAAATAATTTATTATAGAACTATAAATAGTTTAATACACAAGTTAGAGTTATAAATTAAGAATTGTAACTAAGAAAAAACTCTTTTCAATATTAATTTAATTAGCTTAATTATTAAATTTTTGTTTCTATACGTTGTTAACAAAGCTCACCAAAAGCCTACAGTTTTTATATAATATTTTATGTAAGTACTTAAAATAAGCAGAATTTTAATATTTCATTATATTTTGTACTCAATATATTTATGAATTCCGTTACTCAATTTATTACTTATTTTTCTATTATAATAATTATAATTCTCATTAACTATTTTAAAAAATAAAAAAAATTTGGTGTACTATTTTTCAAAGCATGGATACTACTTTAAATTATTACTATTAAAGTATTTATTTTAATATATATATTAAAATTAATAACTATCGATATTATTTGATTTATAATATCAAATAATTATTTGATTTTTACGTCTTTTTTCTTAAGGAAATATCACTTAATTTTTATCAAATTTAATACTTTTGACTGTTGTGCAAAAGTACCAAGGTTCTTTAAGGTAGTTATTGATATTTTTTAACTAATATTAACTTAAGATTTATTTCTTTGTTTTTATTAGATGTTTCCAAACTTAAATTTGAAAAATTACCACTGTAATATTCAAATTACCTTATTTTTAATTACAGACTGTATGATTATTGAAGTAAAATATCAAAACACATAAATTAATTATTGTATCCAAATTTAAAAAAAATTAAAATGCTACCATTAGAAGTACTTAATATTTTGCCTATAATTCTAGTTTTTACTGTATATCAAGTTGAATCAAAAATTTCACCTGAAAAACAAATTTTAATTACTAAGTACTGTGAATTATATAAAATTAACACTGGGTATACAAAAGATAAGAATCCCAAATTAACATTTCACAGTTCTACTAAAACAGCTAAAATTAATGACTTAATAGATGATCAAATAAATGAAATAAGATGTGGATTTGCAATGATAGCTCAATCTTACATGAGAATTTCCAAATACCTCTTTAGACGAAGAGACTCTGATTTAAAATCAAAAGGCTCTATGATGTCGGATTTGAATAATTATATAAAATCATTTAGTAAACATGCTACCGATATGATGACAATTCTTCACAGTCTTGGGGTAGTCAAAATGTTTGAAATCTGGATATTTTATTTGTATACAACCGATTTTCAGACAATTTACTCGTATTTATCAAGAAAAATTAAAGATCAAGATGATGTAAAAATGAATTTATATGAAATTCATCGATCCGTAGAGCATAAATTAAAAGTTGTAACAAAAAAGTGTGTTACTAATAATGTCTTTATACTAGATGATAAAAACCGTTTTCATAGCTTTTATAAACTCATGAGTAAAACAGGTAATAATGTTGAATGGCCTATCACTTTAATAAACAATTATAGAAAAATGATAAACCCAATAATGGAAAATAATATGTCATTTGAATTTATAAAAAAAAATTCAGATGGTTTCACATTAGAACGTTTGTTATTAAACGAAATAGTCTTTGATGATAATATTATGAATGATTTAATGTTCGAATATGATAACAGAATTGTTTGGGGGAATACCCTCAATGTGTTGCAAAATGCTAGCAACAACTTCAAAAATAGTCCTAAAAAATTATTTAACTCATTGAGTGAGTTGAAAACCTACCACGCTTTATTTAAAGATTTGATTAAAGTAATAATGTTAAGAATAACTTGGACACATTTAATATTGATAAATGATAAATCAGATGAATATAATTTTAAATTTTTGAATAAATTTGCAGTACGAGAAGAAAATCTTAAATTGGTCAAAATTTTAAAAAAATTCGCCCTTAATTTTGCTTTAGAATCAGATGTTTTTATCAATCAGATAATTAGTTGTTTAATAGAGAAATCATGGAATTGTGTAACATTAAATGATATGGGAATTAATATGATTAAAGAAGAACTCAGTTTGATGTCAGTTAATTTTCAAAATGCCAAATTCGCAGAACGAAAACCTATTGAATCTAAAAATAACTTGAAAGAACATTTTAAGAAATGTGTACGAATATCTGATAAAATTGGACTTAGATTACCATACCAAGAAGGTACATGTGAAATTTTCAATGATCTCCAAAATAATTATACGCGAGCTGTAATTTTTGTTGATCACTTACGTCACTTATTAAAAAAAGTAGATTTTTTTGTGATTCGATCCTTAACTTCTTGTTCCTATGAATCATCAATTGATATTGATATACAGAAAGATTTTAAAGCATTTCAACAAGACATACCACATAATTTAATACCACCTACACAAAATTATGAAGTTTGGGAAGAAATTAGTGATATAGCTACACCAAAAGAATTTGATCGTAATTTTTATGACAATAAAGAAACAAATTTTGGATTTTTAGAAAAAGCTGCGGTACCTAAACAAAAGTATGACTTTAATAAAAGTCCACAGTTAATTGATTCCTTTTCAATAATACGTGAATCGGAAAATGGTTGGGAAGTAATGACTAGTGGTAGATTCGAAGATAGTTTTCGGTCTGAAGATTTCAAAACCGCGCTAGACGACGATTTATACACTGTCATTAGTGATGATATTTCTGAACAACAAAATAAAAATATCCAAAAAACTCAAAAATTTAAATCAGATTAAAAAATGTTGACGTTGTTACATAGTAAATTAAATACGAAGAATAACAAAATGTATTTATTGATGATAAAAAAGTGTAATGAATTATTAAAATATATACAATTTAAAATTTACTAACCCTAGTTTCTCTTTTTTTTTATTCCAATTATTATATAGTTATTATGAATTTTTACCAATAACCGATCCGATATGACATGTTATAGTTAAAAAATATATAACATATAAATTTACTTTTTATTTAAATTTTAAATTGTTCTTAAGGGAAATAATTAAAAATATGTTATATCTATAAGGACTATTTGTCTACATTTATAATAATAAATGTAGATTTTGAATATGCAATGATATTGCTTTATTGCATCATTTTATTAATTAATAACGCAATTTGGAAAAGTTCAGAATGGGTTTAGGGTTCCAAATTTTACAATAGACTACTATTAATTATAAAATTTACACGTTGATTTGTGTAGAATATAAATTTTATTAAAAATTAACAAACCCACCTTTCACCTTCAATCATTATATTATAATTTCATAGTAATATCATTTATTTTTATTTTTAGATTTATTAGATATTGTTGTTTTAAAAAAAAATAATAATAAAATTAATATTAAAATTTTAAGTTGAAAAAATTTTAAAAGGGTTGCAAAAAGATAGGAACACATATTTTATTCAAATATAAATGGGAGGATACTGATAAGAAAACGGTTAATTTATTAAAAACAAATTCTAAGTACAATAATATTGAAAAATCAGTTAATAAAAATTAAATCAACTAGTATTTCTAGTTGATTCTAAAATAATCATTATGAAAATTATAGTTATTGTAATTTTTACTTGTTAAAGTAAAATTTCAGTTTTAAAATACATTTGCACATAAAAAAGTCATATGAGCCTCGTAATATTACCTCTACTCTATCTTATTTTAAATATTACATAGAGGTATAATGTAAAAAATTTGTATTAATACTTCTTAAAAGCTTTTTTTATTTGAATTACTATATCAATATGTTATTATGAACTATTAAATATGCATAAATGTTTTAAACTTTTAATTTATTTTAGAATAGTTCTTTGTTGAATTTGTCTATGTATACATAATAACCAAATTAAAAACTAAATTCTAAATTCGTAGGTTTATAATTTTTTGATATTAATTATGCACAATTACTTTTAAATTGAGTTATTTATATCTAAAGTTTCCAAAATATAAAATATATATAATGCGAATTGAAGATACACGTATAAAAGGGTAAGTCAATGAAGAGGATCTCCATAATTCTCTTCCATTTGACCGCTGCTGGTACTACTGAATAACTAAATGTACTATGAGCATCTTTTATGTTATTAAAGATGTGCTGTAATGTATGAATAATTTTTAAGAAATACTGAATTCGTTAATTTGCCCATCCATATCTATTATAAAAATTGAACATTGTACATTTATTGTAGTTTAAACTTAAAAATAAGTCTGATAACTGATTATTATCAATCATCAAATCGTGATTTATATCAGTTTAAACATCTGAGATACAGTAAAACCATTAATTATTTTCGCGATATTAAATAATACTCAATATTTTATGTTTTATATAGAGAATTTTGTAAATAAGGAAATGGGTTTCTATTGCTCTCATTGTTTATAACAATTAACCTGTTCCTTACTTAATGAACACTCTGTATAAAACGTAGACATAAAATCCATATTTTTTAAATTATAAAATTTTCAGATTAACATCAATCTATAGAAACATTAATTTTGAATAATATTGAAAGTTCTAAACTTGTAAATTTTTAATAATGATTTAATTATAAATAAAGATTTTCCTATATTTACGTGTTTATATCTAAACAGAGTTATTCATTTATCAAAAACCACATAATTAGCTGAAAAATAAATGGAGATATTGGAAATATGTACATATTAGGTATAATTTTATGTAACTAACAAAATCTAAAAAATATTAACAAAAATATTATTATAATAAGAGAAATCGAATCGCTTCCTTTAAAGGAATCACTCTGTATAGCTTAAGTACTTTTAGATACTAATACCGCTAAGTGCGTTGATCTAAGTAATCATTTTTTTTCTTTCAAAAATATATTGCTAAAGAAATTTTAGTCTAATAGGAGAGGATGTTTTTTTTCTTTACCTAGGTCAAACATTTCTTAAATACGTCTGTGGGAAATCATATATTATAAAAACGACGTAAGTTAGAACATTCTAACGAAGGTTGAAATTGAAATAGGGTATATAATTATAATATTATCATTTTATAAGCTCGGTGTATTTTTACAATTACTTAGGTTTGATCATCTTAGTTTTAAAATATCATTACCATTGGCGCGTTATGTTGAAAGTTTCAACAAAACGCTCCAATATTAGCTTTTAAACTGTATTTTACTGTTTTCACTAGTTTAATATTTTGGATTTAAGCCGTCCCTCAAATAAATGATTAAGCTCTAATTTATTTTATTTAAATAAAAAATAGAAGACGATTGTCTACCACAAAACCACTAGAAGACAATTCTCGGAACAATTATAAATTATATCATTCACTGGATACACATTTATTTTTATGCTTAAATAATGATTTGTTTATTATGACACATTTAATTGACCGGAAAATAAATATAATAATGAGAATTTTATTTTGGTTTCATTTTGGTATATGTTTTTTTTAATTTATCATACAGTACTTTTGATATTTATTCCTCATATCTTATTAGATTGTCAACTTTATTTTTTTCAATGGACAACAGTTAGACAGTTTATTTAATATATAACTTTCTTTTTTCAAAATAGCCATCTTTAGATCTTTTTTTTAAATAAATACTTTATGGGATGATAACAATTTAGAACAAGTACTATGACACGACTTACGTTGAAATAATGTAGTCGACACTGATTTGAGGGTAGAGACCCGTGAGCCGTTTATTATCAAGAACAATAGGTTATTTAAAAAACAAACAAATCAAAAAGACGAACACAGTTAATAATAATCTTCGCATAGTATCGTGGCACTTTCGCTGTCATCGTCGACGCGTGTCCGGCATCGTTTTGGGCGTCGAAAAGTTAGCAGCGTTGATGGTGACGGTGCGAATCGTTTCGTCGATCCGGTCGTGCGACACATCCTGAACCGATGCCGTACATCCAAGACGTCGTCACTTTGATGACGGGAATAAGACTCAACGTATCATTTGTGGTGGATAGTCGTCGGGCACTGCGGTGCTCGTTGAACTCTGCACTATGGCGTATGGCACGCGGTGTTTGTCAGTCAAATACTCATAGTAGGGCGACGGCTGATAAAGGTGGCACGACTAGCGGGGCATCGCTTATAACGAGGGGCCGTGTTAACTTATTAAGTTACAAGCATTTTATTACATAAATAGGGTACATAGTGCAGGTATGTGAACCTGTACTAGTGTAGTATACTCTGTTTGTGTTCTATACCCCCTCTATGTTTTAAAACTATTGTAATTTGATAAGTACTTGTCTTAAAGTTTATATCATCTTAATACATTATAGGAATATATTTTAATATGATCTCGTGTCACTTCGTGGTACACTGTTCCCCGCACCACATTTATCAGTCATCGCCTTATTGTGGGAATTGGGTAGTTTACTTGAACAAAACTGCGCGCCATACGCCATAGTGCAAAGTTCACCGAGCACCGCAGTGGCCGACGACTATCCACCACAAATGATACGTTGAGTCTTGTTTCAGTCGTCAAAGTATGTACGCCACCGGCTCCGGATGTGTCGCACGACCGGCCTCGACGAAACGATTCGCACCGTCACCATAAAAGCTGCTAACTTATTGACGCCCGAGGACCATGTGGGATATCGAGGCGCCTACGTGACATTATGCGAAGAGTTTAATTAATTGTGTTTGTCTTTTCGGTTCCTTTTAAAATAATCTGTTGATGCTCATGAACAATAAAAGGCCCACCAGTCTCTATTGTCAAAATCAATGTCCACTGCATTATTGAGACGTAAGTCGTGTCAATTTAAAATATTGACATTATTAATAGAGTTATTTTTTGCAATTACGAAAAACAATCAAAAATATTACTTTTTGATTAATTCGACAAGCCTTAGATAACGTTATATCATTTTTTTTGAAAAACTTAAGTTTCCTACTACTTATTTTTACTTATTAAATATAGATGCTCATTCGTGTGTTAATAATTTACACGGACATAAATTGAAAACTGTTAACCGGTAAATAACGTAATAAAATAGTGTTGACTTTACTTAATATGAACTAATATGTGATACCATAAAAAGATCGTGAAAAATTTAAAATTTAACAAATTTCAGAATGCTATAGAAAACGTAGCGGCTGAATTAAAATAAGAGCTTTTAATACCAAAACTTTTCTTTAAAACTTATCTATAGAATGGCTATCTTCAAATATAAAAAAAAAAAATTTTATTATTATTTTTAGTAATTTTAAAAAATAACATAAAACATATATTACATATAGTGTAGAAATCTAGTAAAAAAAAAAGAAAATTATAAAACTTTATGTACATCATAATTTATATGTTAACTATGTCTCATGTAATATCATCAAAACTACAAGTGTAATAAACAATTTTTTTTTTTAAATCATTATGGATCTTTGATGAGCTGTTTCACAAGAAAAATTAAATTTCTATCATTATCCCTTATACTTAGAACTTGTATCAACTTCAAATTTTCAAATGACAACCCCATATTATTTTTATATACTTTTGTTCGTNTCATTATCCCTTATACTTAGAACTTGTATCAACTTCAAATTTTCAAATGACAACCCCATATTATTTTTATATACTTTTGTTCGTCATAAAAAAAAAAAATAATAAAAAATTATGAATTATTAATTTTAAACAATGTACACTACTTTAAAATTTACGATCTTTGATGAAAAAAATCAGTATTTTTTCAAAAATACGGTCACATTATTATTTTATTTAGTGATAAGAGCTATCGGTTTACTGTGACAATGTACGTATACAAAATAACTAAGGTAAGCTTGGTATGTTTATTTATAAAACTGGTAGTACTTATCGATTTACGACCAATAACGTTTGAGTCTGTTATAATTTTTTCTTAATAAACACGAAACTTTAGAGAGCTGTGGAGCGTTTAATATAAAATAAAATAAAATATTTTTTTTTTATTAAACTAAATCTAACGGTGTAAAAAAAAAATAGGGTTGCCATTTGAAAATATGACGTTGATACAAGTTTTAAGCATAAGGGATGGTGGTAGAAATTTAAATTTTCTTATAAAACACCTCATCAAAGATCTATAAAGATTAAAAAAATAATTGATTATAACACTTGTATTTTTAAAGATATTAAGGGAGTCATAGTTAGCCGATCACTTTGTTTAAATATATAAACAATGTATATAAATTGTATATAAACAATGTAATAAAAACAATAAATAACGGTTGGGTACCATTTCTTGGATAATTTATTACTGTTAATAAAAAAAAAAACTAGTACAGTGGTGAGCAGCGTCGGGACAAGCATATATCTGACACTGATTAAAATCACCACCACACAAAAATATCAATTTCAAATCTGTAGATAGTGATTCATTTTTAGAAAGGATTGTTGAATTATTCCAAAATCGACATTAATTCCTATTATCTTTTATTAATCCTGATTATAATTCTATAATTTATTGGTATAATAATTTTGTTTAAATGATCTCATATATTTAATTAATAATAAAATAAAAATAATTTTCATCTAGAAAATGACTTAAAAAACTGAGTACTTTGTATGTTATTGCCTTTTTTACACCTAGTTGGAAAAGCGCGACAGAGTAATGCGTAATGATAAAATTAACAAAATCACACCTTCCATTCAATTTATATTTTAAATAGTTAAAACTTTCAAAATATCGAGTCGAACGTGGTTATCGATCGGTTATTTTTTTAATTAAATATAATATTAACTTTATATTTAGTGTAAAAGTTAATTTTGCATATATTCATTAAGCAAAATAAAATGTATACCCTTAAAAGTATAAGAACGAATTAAAAATAAAACTTAATATAATAATCATAAATCGAAAAAATATGAAACAAAAAATACCAAAAAGGTTTTTTTTAACATAATTGTTATTTTAAGAGAAATTAAATGGCCATAAGTGTCTGTCGAGTGACTTATTCAAATTATTCTATATATCTTTACCTTAATGTATCATAAGCAATTGGGAACTAGATATTTTTTTTGAAAGAGCAACCCCCTTCCTTTTAATTTACATATTGGATTGATATTAAATGTTATAAAAATTCTCCTTGAAAATATTTACTACTAACACTTAAATCCTTTTTATAATTTTATTTTATTTTCGTAAAAAGGGGGTAAATAGGGGTACTTATGTCTACTTCCAGTAATACTATACCATTTTTACCTAAAGTATATGCATAAATAATTTTAAAAAAAACTAAAGTTAAATTATAACAATTTGAAAAATGATGATTTTTTTTATACGAAAATAACATTTTTTGTTTAACTTGGGAGGCCGTTTACATATAGCAGACAAATTTTTTACTTAAATAAATATCATAAACTTCAATTTAACATGTATTTAAATTCCGGATATTTTCGGAACATTTTCAAACGTTAAATTGAAAAAGTTCTAATTTTTGTACATATGTTTCAAGTTTTGAACCCCATTGCGCAATTTGTCTGATTATTAATAGAAATATAACGGATACTAAAAAAAGAATAAGTTAAAAAAATTCATACATTTTTTAAAAAGTTATAGCAATATAAAATTGAGAATATAAAATTTAACCACAAAATTTGTTTTAACTACAACAGTCATTTGTATATAGATGATTAGGTTATGGGCAATTTTTTTTTTTAACTTATTGTATGTAACATAAATTTTAATTTAACACATGTTTGTAGCTCGGAGTATTTTCGGAACATTTTCAACAGTTAAGCTGAAATTTAATTTGAAATAGAGGGTTAAAAAAATCATTCAAAACGTTTTCATAAACAAATAAAAATGTATAAAACGTTATAATATCGTTGAAAAAAATATACATGAAACATTTTAAACACCTATAACTATAAACATTTCAGTAATTAACCCATATCGTTAAACAATAAAAAAAAAAAACATGTTAAAAATTATAACATTGGAGTAAAACGGACATTTTAATTTCAAGCCTTGGCAAATGTAACCCATCGAGGGTTTCTTATGCAAAAATTACCGATTAGGGTTTTAGGCCATCTGATTGCGCATCATTCAATTCCACGCTCGTATCGCGCTGGCAAAAATAAGCAATAGCGCAACTGGCGCTCAGGAGACGATTGGGCGTCTGGGTGTAGTGGCAGCTTGTAAGTTATGCGCTTGCGTTGGTCCACTGAGTCCCAGTCTCCGAGACTGACCCGGTCGATATACTTTGGTTGCTAAAATTTTGCTACTCAGATTTCGTTGACCGACAAAAAGCGACGGACGCCCACCGACAATGGGCTCCATTCTTCTTTAGCACTGTCCAAAAATGTAAGTACAATGTGTGTGCAAAGTATGTTTAATAAACCGAGTTAGCGGGTGCATGAATTTTAACAGTTTTCAGTTCTTTTTTATAGGTACAAAAAGTTTTTAACACCGTGCAACGAAACACAAGGTTTTGTTAATAAAAAATGGGTGAACGCATTTAATAAAAATTATTAAATAAAATAAATAATTAAAAGTGATGATTGAAAATACAATCACAAATTTCGTTAAAAGCTAATTTATTGTAATTTTTCATTTGCAATAATAAATTTTCAATTAGGTCCTAATCGTTAAGGCAATTATAAATGTTTAGTAAATACACAATAAATCATCTTGAAAATGTTTAGTTGCTGTTTTAAACAAATGCATGACAATTAGATGTTTTTGAACTAATCTAATTTTGAAACTAACTGAACTTTTAACTGAAATATTTGATCATTATTTCAATGGTGCGATTTATAAAAATTAACAAGCAACAAAATATCTCTGCTGTGTATATCTATTTATTTAACGTATCGGCGGTCCCATAACTTGGAGTAAAATCAATAATGCATCAAATCATTTAATATTGTTATGCCAACACAAAAAAACTTTATAGATGAATAATCTTGAATATTTTTGATATTACGTACTCGCTCAAAAATATAATTCCATTTATACTTTATTATAATTATATTTCTATTAATTTCTTAATTAAATGTAGTAAAACATTGTTGACAAATCATAACTTTTCATATTTTTTTTGCGTTTAATAGAAATAGACTCATAAAATAAATAATATAATTACCAATTACTTGATTGAGTGTATCCGTTAGTTTATATGTTTAACTTAAGGCTACAGAATACCAAGCAAACAAAAATATCTACGCATTTGTCAAGGCAAAAAACACATTCAATTTATAATGACTACTATTTAAATAAATCACGATATTACATTCTAAAATATTAGGCCTTACATACGTGTTTCAAAATACTTTAAAATTTATCAGGTTTACTATAGACAAGTTTATATTTAGAGGACAATGCATTATCGAGAATAAAAAAATATAAAACTTTATTTTTCAAAATGCATATTAAAAATTGATAAACAGCTCAACTTAAACATAAACTTTATAGAGCTATAAGTTCTGCGGGTTTAAAGTACACTAAAATATCGTGTGCTTAAGATTAATTAAAAAATGTCTGTGGTTCGTCAAATGAATGATATTTGATTAAGTTACCAAATATATCATTCATTATATTAAAACGCTTTAGTAGAGCGGCCCCAGCGTTGGATATTTATAGGACTTCATTAAAACTTAATCTAGCCCTGACTTTTTGATCAATTTTTCGAAGATTCTTTGATTTTACTGAATAATCTTAATAAAATATTTGTTTTAATTTTATTTTATTTAAAAATTTACTAGCCCATAATGTGTATATACTTTTGAATACATATTTCGAATCTATTTCAACAACAAACATGATGGCTTATCGTTTTAAGTGTTAATAATTTATTCTATTACATTAAATTTCCTTTTTAACAGCAGTTACGTAGCGTGTTTTTGTACCATAAATGCTTTGCTGAGTGGGCTTATTAATGATTTCCGGTGATCTACTACAAGTATTTTAAAATCACAATAAAGGTGATATAATTGGTTAGATGTTTTTGCTATTCGTACTTCATTTATTGGCTACCTTTAATTTGGTAAATGATTTCTGCTTATCTTCACTTATGAAGACACAAACAATTTAATATTATAAAATCATTGATATCACACCATACGTTCTTTTTGTGGGGTTCTTGATAATTATCTGTAATAGAAATATATTTTTTAGTTTTAATTTAAATTCCTTAATTCTATATAATGTTAAGATGGAACTCATTAGTAATTTTTTTAAACCATTTGATATATTTAGAGTTTACGCCAAATACTTTTCAAGCCTTGAAATAATTTTTTAATAGAAAAACTTTTTTTAAAGAAATTACTCAAATAATTTCATACAAAAACTTAGAGCAAAATGTTTAGAATTGAATCGGTTTTATGTTATAAATACTATATATATTAGACACATTGTATAATCTTACAACTAAAATATTGAATATCAGATTTGTTTTGTATAATTACAATTATTTTAGAATTAATTGTAGTTCTATATTTTAGTTATTTATTAATAGTTATTGTTATTTATTAATGATGTCCAAGCATGACTTAGTATATTAAGTTTTGTATGACAAGTATATTAATAGTTGAATTTTTTTAAATACACCTTCAAATACTGCAAAATAAAATAGAACTTTATATTTACTTATATTAATCTTATTTATTTTGTGTTCAATTTACCTTTTTTTTAGTATACAGATATATGCGAATAAAAAAAAATCTATGAGAGTATACAAACATTATTTAATTAAACTGTTGTAAGCTTAGTGCTCTACTCTGATATTCTTTAAATGGAATACATTTATGAGGATATTTGAAAAGTTGTACGGCGAAGTCTGCATTTCCTTTTTTTATTTTTTTACGTTTTATAATTCAAAACGTATATTAAGTATAATAGTTTTAATATACAATAGAAAATTGACTTTTTATGACAAATCAATATATTATTTTTCTTCAAAATTTATTACTTATATAAATGGAAAATATATTTAGATGTATTTCAATACGGTAAAATATAAACATTTTATTATATATAATATCTTAACAATTTTTAGTTTTAACTAAATTAGACGACCAAAGATAATAATTTCTTAAATAGATCTGCGCATTTATGAATGTTGAAAAATTTTAAAATATAAAGAGATCAAAATTATAGATATTAAAAACAAAACGGTTTATTGGAAAACAAAATATTTTTCAAAAAAATATTTTGTATAACAATCTCTCCGAGATATTTACACCTTTTTATATGAGTTATTTTAGAAGAAAAAATAATTATGCTATTACATAAATTAATAAATTCTGAAGGATTAAATTACTTTTATGAAAATCCATAAGTATAATAATGTACAGTATATTTTCGATGGTGACTAAAACTGACACTAATGTACTCCGAATATTTTGTTGTTTGCTTCATTAATTAATTTATAACATTTGTCTAAACATACATTACATATAATGTTTAATATTTTATCAATACATATACATAATGCATCGGAATTATTCAGAAGTTGCAATATAATCGAATTATATAGCTTAATCAAGAATAAAGCTGTTAACAGATCCCCAGTTATTTTTTTAACATTCTTACTTGATTCTAAATTATATAATAATACTTTTTTTTTTTAGTTCATCCTATTTTAATTACATTATTTGATTCGTTACAGAGATATTGTGAATTCACGAAAAAATGTTTTTTTTCATTTTGTATTAATAATTTAATGTTTTTATACAGGCACTATCATAAATATACATACTTCATATTTCTAAATTATGTAATATAGTAAATAGTGTCCAAAAGGAACCACGCCCAGCTAAAAGCTTCACAACGCGAAAAAAACAAACACTAAAGGAATAATAAATTTTTGTTGTAACTAAAACATCGAAGCATTTTCATACCATTAAGTTTATTATAAGTATATAATTGTGAAAATTTTCGAATAAAAAGTGTTTAAGAAGAATTTTGAATAGTTTAAATTGTCAGGAATATAAATATTCTATTCAAATATATAATGAATTTTTACCAACCACCAAATAGTACTATAGGTGTCTTGTTATATATTACCTATCATCAAACAACAAGATAACCCAAGCGATGAAAAAATGACAGAATCAAATATTATAATGTTTAAATATAATGCTCAAATTATAATATTTTCACAATTTTATCACCTGCAAAATTCAAATCGATAATGAATAAAATTATTTATTCTTAAATCTTTTAAACAGATAAAATAATAAATTATTTATTTTATTTTAAGTGTGATTTATTTTGTAAGGCTATAATAATTAGCAAATAAATCTATATCTATTTAAGCAATGTACTATTCATGAACTATGAATAGTTTTAATGTGAGTCATAGCATATTTTATAGCATTAATTTAATGATACATTAATGGTTTTATTACACAAATGTGAATTTACAATAAAAAAATTCAGGTTAAAGCAGCCATAAATTTACATTAATTTTATTAAAATTTTGGATATTTTTCAATTAAGAGTGCATACATTTTTACTATTTAGTAAACTGAGAATAATTTTTTTTTATCACCATTAAAAGAATACAAGTATTCTAATTCTATTAAATTCTATGAATTTTTATTTTTTTGTATGATGAAATTTAACTATTTATTTTATCGCTATTTATTACTTATCTTCAATTGGTAATTAATTTATTCATAGCCAAAAGCCGATATGCCATAAAAATTGGTTTTCAAAATTTTTTATAAATTGCATAGAAGAATTTGTTACCTATCTTTTGAAAAAATTCAATTATACAGAAAATTTTTATCACTTCAAGAGATATAATTTCTATATGACACTATTTTTGGTTTCATAAATAATTGTGAAAAATTATACACATATTAATTATTAATTTTTTCTAATATTTTATTTACTACTAAGCAAAATAAATCCTACTTAAATTAATTCTTCTTTACAATAAAACAAGGGCAATTCATACATAAATAAAAAAAGTTATGAAAATAGATGCATTAATTTATTGAAAACATTTTTTTCAATAGCCGAAACATTAAGAAAATTTATTAATTTCCTTTCGATGAATGTTTTAATATAAAAAATCAAAACATTATATAGTTTTGCCTTTTTATCAGCATCTTAAAAATTATTCATGGCAACTCTTTTTTTTTCAATTCCAAATTAAATAATATTTTTACTTGACATTTTGAAATTATTAGAATTTAATGCCTATAACGATACTTTTTTTTTTATTAAAAAAAGGAAATATTGATTAAACTCAATATCTAGCATTTGTAAATGCGAGTTGAAAAATAATCATTATAATGGTTATTCATTAACTCAAAAATGAAACTTTTGATTTGAGTAAAATATAATTCTTACTATAATATAAAATTAAAATTATTTCCATAGTCGTAAAATCATACATTTTTTATAATTTATTATATGTAAGAAAACTGTTTTATATACAATGAACATTTCTTTGAATGGCAATTCCTATAAGAAGGTATAAAATGACAATCTCGTTATTATATCATTATTTTACTCGGAAATAACATTATTTCTTTTTTTTCAAAGAAAATTATATCAGCACAAAAAAGCATTAAATGTAAGATGAAACAATAATAACTGTAGTAGTTACATCCCAGTAGTAGGTATATAATACAGAATTATTTATAGTACCTAATTTGATAAAATAATTTTTCAGTCGCCACCAACAGCAATTCCTATTTTTAAACTTGAACAATATGTAACTTTTTTCTTAAAAAAATTATTATAACATAATTAGAGTTATAAAATAAATTGGGCTGTTATTGAAATAATATATATATATATTTAATTGTTCACGAAAAATAGATTTTGTTTTTTATTAAGTAGAATATTATTAAGCAATTGAACGTGTTGATTGCGATGGAACATATATATACTTTTCGATAATTTTAAAATAATAACTCTTAATGAGAGTTTTAGTAGGGTATTTTATGGTTACACTGACCTATTAAGTTTACTACCATTTCGTATACTTTTTAATTTTTCTGTAGCAGTTTTTAAGTATATATTAGTTAAATTTTCCGTGAGCGAATTGTAATACATAAATATACCAATTTTATTGCTGTTTATAATTTGTAATTTAACTGTGTGCCGTTAATTTGAAAAATGTTAATCCTGAATTGAATTATTACGTCAACATAATAGTAAATAAGATTAATGAATAATAAAATCAAAGAGTGAGTACGGGATTTGCAGGATCATTGGCAAAAATCGTATGGTCGATGACAGTTTATAGTGCGAAATTTGTTAGACCAGAAATGCCAAGTGTCGAGTTGCCCGCGCACAACTATAATATACATATATAAAAACTATATTTTGTCTACCTACGTCAAGGGTTTTCTACTTCGACCTGGTAGCCCAGGGCAACGCGGGATTAAAGAGGAGAGGAGACCAAAGGGGTCTGTAGGAGCGGGCGTTTGATCAATTTCCCTATAGTTTTCGTCGGTACTCGGTTTACCGACAAGGAAGTTTTGTCGCTTTAGCTATACATATACTGACGATGATAAATTATTTTAACTAATTACTAATATTATTGACAATTTGAACAAAATATCTAATTCCTCTAATAAGTATCACTAAATGATATATTGACGTGTAGATATACACGTAGACGTGTACATTTATTTTAAATAAATATATATTATTACTACATTTTGAATCGATTTAAAACTTTTGAGTTAACATAAAATATCGAAAACATATTTATTCGAAACTGTCAGATAGATAATGGGTAGTAATTTTTGAAATAAATAAATAAATTTATTGTGAATGTAATTTTGAAATATGACTAAAAATACAAGTAAATTCTCAATAAATTGAAAAAAACTAAAGATTATTTGACATTATTAAGTTTTAAATTATTTGAAATTTGTTTGTATGGAAAATGTTTAAATATTATGATAAACAAGTATTAATTTACTGATTATTATCATTTATATAAAAAATTCATTAAAAATTAACCACCAATAACTTTTGTTTTCAGATTATAAGAAATAATGGAGAATTCTAAAGATAAATTCTTTATTTTGTTGGTTATTCTATTTGTGCACATTGCTCAATGTTGTTGGTAAGTGAAGTCTTATACAATCATTTTAACATTATATATAATATAAGAATTACTTCATTTGAACATTTTAGACATTGAATATCAAGAATTGATGATTAATTTATCATGAACCCCTTAATCTATCAAAAAATTAAATTAACACANTTATAAGAAATAATGGAGAATTCTAAAGATAAATTCTTTATTTTGTTGGTTATTCTATTTGTGCACATTGCTCAATGTTGTTGGTAAGTGAAGTCTTATACAATCATTTTAACATTATATATAATATAAGAATTACTTCATTTGAACATTTTAGACATTGAATATCAAGAATTGATGATTAATTTATCATGAACCACTTAATCTATCAAAAAATTAAATGATTATATTATAACTATTTTATTTACTAGATAATTAAGAAAATTATTGGTCAATAACAACTTTTGGACCAATATTTCAATTATTATTTACATTTCAATATTTAGGTGGGAGAAGATGTAAATTCAAGGAATTATTTTATGATAAAAATAGTAGTCATACTTCATCTCCTGTCATTACTTTAAATTGTTAATAACTTCTTAAATATCAGTCCAATAGTTGTTATCTATGAGTCTTATTTTTATAAGTTATCTAATAAATAAGCTAAAGCTCATTTATTAATTTATTTTTCCAAACGGAAATGTACATAGTTATCTATAGTTAATTATGTATATTGTCATTTAAAAAAATAATTAGACATCTTAATGAGGTGTAATGGGTGAATATAAAATATGCAGTATAATTGATAGATTGAATAAAACATGTATTAAAAAAAAAAATAGTTAATTTATACAGGGTGATTTTTTTATCATAACCCACTCAATTACTTGCAGAATAATAATAATTTAAACATTTTTTTTTTTTATTATCTTTAATTACACATTATTCTTGAATTTTTAACTATGTAATACTTTTTAAGTTCATCCCTTATGCCTTGGAAGGGGGTCAACTTTGTTTTTTTAAATGGTAACACATATTTTTAATTTAATAAAATGTTTGAGTTTTTAATTTAATAGTAAATGGCATTTGAATTTTTAATATAACTTTATTAGCTTATTAGATATAAACATTTAAAGTTTCAAAATTTTGAGTTAATATACATGTATAATACACATGGGATTGTAAATACAGGTAGCTAATTGGATTTTTATGACATTGCTGTCTCAGTCACGGATTGTTTATTATCAATTATGATTATCAATAGATATACTTTCTGTATTGTCAGTTAGTGTATTTATAAACTCATAACAATGTGCCTTACTACAATTGATAATAACAATGCTGTGTACCTGCTAATATCGATGTTATAAAAAACCAATTAGCTACCTGTATTTGTAATCCCTTGTGTATTATACCTGTATATTAATTCAAAAATTTGAAACTTTAAATGATTATATCTAATAAACGAATTAAGTTATATTAAAAATTCAAATGCCATTTACCATTAAATTAAAAACTCAAACATTTTATTAAATTAAAAATATGTGTTACCATTTAAAAAAACAAAGTTGACCCCCCTCCAAGGCATAAGGGATGAACTTAAAAAGTATTACATAGTTAAAAATTCAAGAATAATGTGTAACTAAAGATAATAAAACAAAAAAAGGTTTAAATTATTATTATTCTGCGAGTAATTGAGTGGGTTATGATAAAAAAATCACCCTGTATATGGTAAATGAATTATCCCGTATAAAAGGTAATAGAATGAGTTGCTTAGAAAGTAAGGGGTATGGTATAAGGGAAACAATGTAGTTACATATAAATTCAGACAGAAAATTTAAATATTCTATCTGGTAAATAACATTAAAGTATACACATTTATTGTTTAACATAGTATATTATTGAAAACAATAGCTATGAACTCAATAATCACGAAATTAAATATATTTTAGAATATATCTATTTGATATTACTCTATTTTAAAAATTTAAGTCGTTTTTATTTTATTTTCCAGTGCAAGACTTGATGATGATGGATGCATGTATTCAGGAAACTCGCAACATCGGTGCCCACCAAAACCACCAATTAATTATAGGTTAAAAGAAAAAGAGGTTCTTGATCAAATACTAGGGAATTACGATGCTAGAATACGTCCTTCGGGAGTAAATGGAACAGGTAAAGCATATAATACAGCATAAGATCACCCATAAAAAAATCAATAAGTTATATTATAATAATTTAATAATTTTAAATCTACATACGTATAGATCTAAATAATGTTCTTTCTAGAAAACAGTAATGTCCTTTGAAATATCTCCCAGATCTGCAATTGTTTAAATTTCAAATTAATAAAAGATTCCTGCAAATATTAAAAAAAAAAAAATACTTGATAAGTTCTTTTGAAAACAAAATTATTTTGGTTACAGATTTAGCATTTTCTTTGATTCGAATTTATTTATTACATTTTATTTCAAGGGCTAAGTTTAACAAAATAAAGCACTTTTATGAATTTAGAAAATCTAACGGTATAAATATCATAGTTGCTTTTGTATCGACACAATGACACAAACATCATGAAGTGTCGTGATGTTTAAATATTTAAGACAAACTTTATTTTACGGATACATTTTTCGAAGTTCGTCGATTTCACAAAAAAAGAAAATAAATGCTCGAGTTTTTATCTGCAGTGTGTTTTCTGATGTAAGATAAAAAATTAAGCAAATAAGCTTGCCTACACTCTTTAATTCTAAAAATAATTCTTAGATGGCCCAACGATTGTTAAAGTAAATATTTTCCTACGGAGTATTGAACGAATTTGTGACAACAACATGGTAAGTTTTCAGAAAAGTCGCACTTCATTCACAAAAATTCTTTACACATTTTTTTATATACTGTCCATAATTTCTTCAATTTGATTATATTTCTCTATATGTTATATCTTGATTAAATCCATCAAATTGAATAATTTACATTTATGCACCTCTGAGCACAACGTTTTATAAATGACAAATATAGGCTAAATTAAGTTGATTTTTATAGCACATATCTAATAGATAAAATAACATAATTATTTTTATAACACTTAATATTTACTCTTAAGCCTTAATACTAATCTATATGTCCAGCTCATAATGTACTTTGATAATAATCTATACAACTATTATATTCAAAATTGTAAGGCAAATATTTAATTGCATATTAATCATAATTTATTATAAATAAATACCATACAATCTTGCTATCAATTATTATTATAAATATAATGTTATTGTTTTCTTTTCTGAATACAGGAAATCATTCTATTTACAATTACATTTGATAGGTTGCTTTAACAATAATTCATTATCTTTAAATATATAGATTAAGATGATTTGGGAATAGCTAATTTTTTAAAACAATTGACATATATTTTTTTTGTATACAAATAAAGCTAATTAATTTTACTTGGGATTTTTCAAATCGTGATGAAAGATGATAAAATTAAGCCATAATTATTACCTAACTAAATGATATTTTAATTTCGATAAAGCTATAGTATTACAATAATGCATTATAGACTCTTCAAATCCAACATTTTTTATAAACTTCTTTTATTCTCATTAAAAGAAAGAAGTCTGAACATGTAAAATTTAAGCATATTTAAAAATGTTTATACCTCCCTAGATGGCCCGACAATCGTGCACATAAATCTTTTTGTAAGAAGTATCACGACAATAAGTGACAACAAGATGGTAAGTCATCTTGCTAGGTTATATGCTGGTATTTTGGACAAAAACCATTCAATTTGCTATTATTTTATTATTATTATATTTTGAACTAGAGAAATTTTATAAATTTTTACATGTTAACATACAATTAAGTGTATGTATTAACTTAATGTATTTATTTAAGTAGATGGACCCGTTCGCTATATTTAGAGTAATCCTTTAACTTTCACCTGCTCTTATTGACGTTTTATTTTTATCTATAGAAAATTTTGTTTATATTTCATGGAATGATTGTGAATAGTAAAAAATGCTACTGGTAACATTTTAAAGTAGTCAATGAAAAAATAAATAATAAGGAAATAAATTATTGATTAATTAAAATTTCCAGTAAACTATTTGTAAGATAAAACTAAATAAAACAGTTGGGTTTACATTCTAAAGAAATAATTGTTGTATCTTAAGATATATATTGAATATCTTTATGATTTTTAATATCAAATATGCATATTTTGTTATTCTACAGATCAAAAAGAAATTCGGTATAAGAAAATTAATACCTAGATCAAAATTTATTAATAAAAAACACATGAATTAAATGCTATATTATATTCATGAAATTCTCATTTATCTTATTAAATATACTTTTATAATTTGATTCTATTTATAAACAAATAATTAATTATAGATTTTAGAATTTACTAATTAATTTAGAGCAATTTAAAATGTTAGTTTTATACTTCAAATAAAATCTTTTATTAAACTTATTTAATAATTTTAATGTAAATTTATACCAAAACAACATAATTAACATATCCTATTATAAATAACTTAAAATAGCTAATCAAATTTTTAATTTCTACCGTATATGTCAGTTGTAGAGCATACCAATTTAATTTAACCAATTTCAATCAATTACTTTTCATAAGTACTTTAAAATTAGAATAAATTGATATATATATATACAGGGTGGCCCACCACTCACTGACAACTTAAATAACTTTTGATCCAGTTAATATTTTTAGCTGATTTTTTTTTTTTAACATTAGTTAGACGTTAGGTCTATAGCTATATCTCAATAATTAATTTTTTTACATTTTATTAAAAATATTAATTATTTTTAAATTTTAAATAAAATGTAAAAAAAAAATCTAAGATAGCTATTTTGTAGAGTAGAATTTAAGAAAAATTTTAGTAAAAAAATATCTTATTAATATTCAGTAGTAAATATTCTGTAGCGTTTTGAAGTTTGTGAAAATTTGAATTTTCATGTACTATTTTACGGTATTAAACATTGAAATACGTATTGAGAAAAGGACAGAAGAAAACGCTATCTTTTCATGATTACTGTGTATACATATGATGATAGTGTGTATACATTACAAACTTGGCATAAATACCATGATAAGAAATTAGATAAGGCAATTATTACTTATCACTCTCATTCAAAAGTATATTGAAAAGATAGCGTTTTCTTCTGTCCTTTTCTCAATACGTATTTCAATGTTTAATACCGTAAAATAGTACATGAAAATTCAAATTTTCACAAACTTCAAAACGCTACAGAATATTTACTACTGAATATTAATAAGATATTTTTTTACTAAAATTTTTCTTAAATTCTACTCTACAAAATAGCTATCTTAGATTTTTTTTTTACATTTTATTTAAAATTTAAAAATAATTAATATTTTTAATAAAATGTAAAAAAATTAATTATTGAGATATAGCTATAGACCTAACGTCTAACTAATGTTAAAAAAAAAAATCAGCTAAAAATATTAACTGGATCAAAAGTTATTTAAATTGTCAGTGAGTGGTGGGCCACTCTGTATATATAATATCAATTTAAATAGCTACAAAAATTACGTAATTCGGAGTATGTATTTAATTAGAAATATTATAATTTAAGCTACAGCTTGCTAAAATTAAAAATAATTTTTAATACTAGAGTAAAATAATTAAAATAGGTTACATAATATATTATATTTGTATTCTGCTAATATATAGATAAATCTGAAAAACTTTTAATAAAATATGAATATTATTTTTATAATACACATAATACAAAGAACTTTAGAAGCATACTTAATGTTTAATATAAATGCTAATGCTTAAAAACTTGAGAAATTATTCATAAATCATATAAATTCAGAGAACAAAACAAACAATACAACATTTAATTAAATTAAGTAGAATATTTAACTTATACTTCAATTATAAATGAAATTAATTAATTAATAATCTGCTACCCGAGTTATTAAATTAACCACTGAACAAAAATTTTAGACATTCAACTAGCATTTAAAAATTATATCTAATTCTTTAGCTATAATTTTTATGAGTTTAGACTGACAAATAAACAATTTATGTTCGTTTAATGAATAAGAAGAAAAAAACCATTAGTGTTGAAATACTAATTTTATTAAACATTTAAAAAATTAATTTTCTACATTTTTTTTTACAAAAAAAGAAAAACGATTTAATTACAATTTAAATTAAAATAAAACCCTACAAAATTATTAGCAAATGTATCAAGTATAAACTTACCTTTTTAATCACGTTAAATATTTAAAATATTATAAACATTAGTTGTATTATATTAATAATTGTTTAAATAATTTCACTGAATACTTAAACTTAAGTCTTTCAAATAACTGACTATATCTTGTCGGTATTTATTCTATCCCGCAGGCGACTCTCCCTGTATTGTGTTTGTCAACATATTGGTACGTTCCATCAGCAGAATTGATGATTACAAAATGGTGAGTCGGGTGATGGCCTTGAAATAATATTTTTTGATTTTTTTTTTTATCAATTTATGTTATTTGAATTTGTTGTGAGATTGTGTCCAATTTATTTGCGAGTTTTTATGTTGATATCAAATTATTATTTAAAAGACAAGAACATATGACTATAATCACAACAACACAGTGTCAAGACAATTCCGCGCTAGATTTATTTGTAACGAATTTTATTTAATATATGTTTTTGTTTCATTATTCTGAAAATTAAATTTATACATTAATATTTATATATATATATATTAAATATATATATTATGAAAAATTAACGAAAATTAAATGGTTGCAACAAAAAATAATGATTTTTCATTACATCAATTTTAAAAGTAGAAATATTATATATATATTTACATGGATCTTTTAATTTTTTGTTTAGCTAATTCACTATAAAATGGTATCAATTAGAGCTTAAAATTTATCACAGACTCTGATCACTGCATAATTTATATAAATTTACATATTTTTTTTTAAACCATATTTAACGTCTTCTCTAAAAACTACTTTTTACTTGTACCGAAAAACTTACATAGCCCAGCATAACTGAATCGAATCATACATGTTTCATAAGTATACAAGTTATATATAGTTATTATATATCAAGTTACTCACAATCTCATTGTACATTTTTTTAATTTATAATAAAATACTACTCATTTTAATAATTTTATTAATGGACTAGGTTATTTACAAAATACATAAAAACTTATACAATTTGTTATACAAGATATATATAATACATCAAATATATTTATCAAAAATTAAAATTAAAATCAAAAATTAGTCTAGTAACAGTTAAAAAAAATTATTAACAGTTAAAATACAATAGTAGTAAACGTAAAATAAATGAATTAATATTGTAAAATAGTTTAATTATTTTAAATTTTATGAAGCCATTTTAGTATAGTCCTCCAATAAATTATATCTAGTGCTGCATTTTTTTAATGCTAAATTGTCTGAGCGTAGGAATTGTCTGGTACTGAATTACCCGATACAGAATTATTGTAGATCCCTACACCACTTCTAGATAGTTTTCAACCCGAACATTTATTATAGTAAAATTTTATCATACACATTGAAACAAATACAAAACAAGACTTATTATTTATTTGTGCTTTTTAATGGACAGCAAAAAATATCGATCGAAACTGTAAAAATAATAAAGAGTAATGACTTATTTTAGTTAAATAATTGGTAATTAAATCCACAAAGACTTATCTAAAAATTTTAAAATTAAAAAAATCTAAATTTAGTATTTAATAATAATGTTATATTAAATTATAAAAATTTCGAAACAACTTCGAACAATATCTAAATTTTGTCAATTTAAGGCTAAAACTCAATTTGATGTATTTTCATTTTTTAGCTTCGATGCGAAGCTGAGAAGGTATTGGTTTTACTAAGATGTGTTTTTTTTTTTTTTATTTTGTGTCTGTTACCACTTTTTCTCAGCTCTCACCGAACCAATTTCTTTCAATGATACGTCAAAAGATCACAAATCGTATCTAGTCGAAGACATTACCCTTAAAAATTGAAAAAAATTCCCTCGTTCCCCGTAAATGGGGGAAACCTCCAAAAAAATTACAAATTTAAAAATCGCTAATTTTCGAAATTTTTTCAATTTTTTTTACTTAAAAGTGCCATAACTTTTTCAAAAATGAACATATCAATATAATTCTTTTTTATATAGATGCATAATATCATTACCTTTCATTTGGTATATTTTTTTCATAAATTTAACCCTTAACCTGCCCACAAGGGGGGATTTAAAATGACAACTTTTTCACAAAAAATTAATTTTTTTAACTTAAATTTTGAAAATGTTCCGGAAGGTCTGACACTTTTATATATATCTTAAATTAAAGCTAATGTAATATGCTTTATCATGAAAAAAAAAAATTTCGGACTTTATCTTATCTTCATGGTGAAAATGGCTACCGAATGCTATTTTTGTGTGAAAATTTTCGATTTTGTATTTTCCATTTTTAACTTTATTATGCTATAACTTTTTGAAAAATGTATGAATCATTACAATTTTTTTATGAGCCGTTNTGTATGAATCATTACAATTTTTTTATGAGAAGTAGTATTTATATAGATCTTTCATTCGACATACTGTTTTTTTAAATCGGACCATTTCCCTAAATACAGGGGGGATTCAAAACATAAAAATGCATATAGAAAGTAGAACTTTTTAAACGTAACTTTTGAAAGTGTTCCGGAAGGTCTGACACTTTTATATATATCTTAAATTAAAGCTAATGTAATATACTTTATAATGGTAAAAAAAAATTTCGGACTTTATTTTATCTTCATGGTGAAAACAGACATTAAACTTAATAAAAAAAATACGATTTTTGTAAAAAAATTCTTTTTTATATTTTTAACTTTATAATGCTATAACTTCTCGAAATATGTATGGATCAATATAATTCTTTTTTTTGTAGATGCATGATGTCTTTACCTATCATTTGGTATATTTTTTTTATAAATCTGACTTTTTACCTGCCTACCGGGGGGGATTCAAAATGACAACTTTTTCACAAAAAATTGACTTTTTCAACTTAAATTTTGAAAGTGTTCCGAAAGGTCTGAAACTTTTATATATATATCTTAAATTAAAGTTAATGTAATATACTATATTAAGAAAAAAAAAAATTGACCTCTAGACTTATCTTCATGGTGAAAATGGTTACTGAATGCTATTTTTGTGTGGAAATTCTCGATTTTATTTTTCATATTTTTAACTTTATAATGCTATAACTTATTGAAAAGTGTATTTTTTAAAATTAAACACTATCTAAAGATTTGCATCGAAGCGTTTTATTTTGATAGTGATTTTAATCACTGTCAGATATCATTATACTTGATCCAACTATGCTACGACCCCCCTGTGCTGGGTTTTTTAATAATTAGGCTTATATCTACAGATTCAAAAACTCCAAAATTTTATCCTACGGAATTTTTGAAATATACCTTTTCTATTCATCAAGTTTTAGTTAGAATTTCTCATATCCAGGTTTTATAAAAAAAATTGCATTTTGATACCTTAAAATTTATCAGCATATTATTAAATAATAAATAATTAAATTTATTAGATTTAACTAGTTAAATATTAATGGTATGATTACGTGGGTATTTAATGTGAATGCTACCAAATTCAAAAAGATTACTCATAGAATATTTATAGTTACATTAATATTATGTGTAAGGGCGACGTCAATTTGTATGTCATTAAATCATTATTGTTACGAAAAATATAAGTATAAATAACTTTTAATAAAGCGGTTGCATTCGTTGCTTATTTATTTAAATATTAATTTATTAGTTTTGACTTTTTTTTTGTTTCCCATTTATATTTACACAATAATTAAAATCTTAGCTAAAGAAAATATAAATTATTGACATTTTAAAAACAGGAAAAAGAATATTTTTTAAAAAATATGCTTATTAGTTTCTGTCAGCCTTTTTTTCAAATATTAATTAAACTTTCTTTGATTGAACAAGTTTTCTTGAAATAATTTAGCCAATATATATAATACCAATCGGGAGGACAACTTGTTATTTGAATAATATTTTTATTATAATTATATTTTCTAATCAATTATCATATTATATATTCATGCTAATATGTCTGGGAATAATTATTGTTGATAAATTAAAATTTACACAATAACATGGGATAAAAAATTTTATATGATGAACAAAAATAATTCTCATTACTTCATGGTACAAGTCATATTTTTAATCATTTAAAAATATTTTCAATCAACTTCATTTTCTCTTTCGTAAAATATATTATTATATATGTTATTAATAAATATGATAACTTAAAATCAACTTCCATTGGTCCTAAGTTATAATCAAAAATATAAAATGTATCATATTTGTTAAAAGTACCAATTAAATTTCTATGCTCATTTTAATATTAAGATTAGTTAGAACATCCTAATATTGAAATGAAAAATCAATTTTCATTGCTTTTTTCAAGTGTGTATATATAAATTATAAATTTATTGGATTTCATATGACGTGTCTCAATAAATTTAGTTTTAAAGCTTATTTTTCTTTTCAAATAATTGGTGATATGTTTCACAATAACAATAAAGTAATATATTATGTTGTTTTGGCCGTTTTTCGCAGTTTAGTTGTATTTACTTAAGAAATGTTCTGTTTATGACATAATTATTACCATACTTTTCTTCAATATTTTTCAATAAAAATTATACAAAAATTAAAGAGTTACATTTTTTAAAACCGGATTGCATTATTTTAATTTTATTTCTAAATATCCTTTTATTCAGGAATTAGTACCAAAAATCTTCTTCCAGGAATTAAATTGAGATTTTTAGTTATTTTACTTCTTAAAATAATTATTTTCCATTTGAAGCATTTAAAATTGGAATGAAAATTTCTGCTTCAGTTTATGTTTCGTATTATATTTTTTTAGGATAAAATATCTAAAACAATACAGAATGTACTATAAAATAAAACAACTATATTTGTGTGCATTACAAGATTTTCATTCATATCATATACAAAAGTTTAAAATGCAATTTTATTTTCAAAAATTATATCATGCAAAACAATTTTTAAATTTAGCAATTTTATTTCATGATTTTTTCAAGCTTAATACTTCATAATTTTTTTTTTTTCAAAAACGTTATTTGTTAAAATAAAATAAATTTTATGTATGCTACACATATTTTTTCACGTTAAATAATCTTTTAAAAAATTAAATTAAATAATAAACTTTATTATTATAGATTCACGAAAATTTTTACTTAGTTATATTAGAAAATTATAACAAAAAAAAAAACGCAAATGTATGTATGCATTATTTATAAGTAAAGTCTATTGAATTACGCTTAATTCACTAGAAATATTTTACTGACCACATCTTAGTAGGTGTTTAAATATTGATCTGTTTATTATGATTTTAGATTTTATTGGGTTTATTATAAACAGTTTATGAAAATGAAATTATTTTTAAGAAGCCTATCTTGGCTCGTTAAGGTCATAGCCACTGCTACTAAATTTGTAGATTATAAATTATTATAATTTGTACAAGAAATTAATTAATAGTTATGTCACTAGGAGTATATAAGGGAGTATTTTTCTATTGAGGTGTTAGTATTTAAAAGCACTGATGATGGTAAAATTGTTTCCTAAATACATATACACACATATTATCATAGTATTTTGTGTGGCTTTTTGAGCTAAATATTATTTATATTTATTAGTTTTAAATTAATATTTTAAATATATTTTTAACTTAGAATAATAGCCACAAGTAATAAATACTTATTGTACAAGAAATGCTAGTAAAAACTAATGGCGTAAACACTTTCAATAGAAATAGAGTGGAAAGACTCAATATATAACATTTAGACTATAAAATTTAAGTTTCATAAATGATTCTATAAATAAAATGTAATATATGAAATATTCGAATAAATTGACAAACTTACAATTTACTTTTGATAAAAAAGTTAGGACTACATAAAAATTTAACTCTACATTTAAAAAAATTGTGTTCATATTTGTGTTGACTTTTGAGTGATTGAAATTTTTTTTTTTTTGAAAATTGTTTAAGAATTAATCAGCTATTTTTCGCTGTATAAGTCTATGACATTATTGATGAACAAACCAATATGCTTCTTATTGAACTTTTAATTTATAATTGAAATCATAAAAGATTTTATTAATTATTATGACTGTCACCCGCCTCACTATTTTTCTAAACCCGTACGTTTTTTTTCTTTAGACGTTATTCATCGCTATTGCATTGATATTTTTGTGTGTTATTTTGTTACTATTTATATACTAAGTTAATCGCATGATTTTTTGTTATATTTACTTTTAGTATGCTTGATATTTCATATATTTCTTGAACATATCTATCTACTTTCTTAGATTAGTTCTATTGAAAATTTTAAGCATAAGATTGATGCATGTTAACGTAATTCATAAATACATTTGTACAGTATCGTAACTAGAGAGATCCTATTGAAATGAATACTTATTTATGGAATAACTGAAATTCATACATTAAATACACTATATTATTTAGTTATACGTAAAAAAACGGCTATGATATTTTAGATCTCTTTGGTTACGCCATTGTCTAATATTTAAATATCGTCCAAGATCTAAACAAATACACCAATATTTTTCTTTTTTGAATTAGTTAATATATAATTTTTTTTAAATATTTAGAATTTTTAAATCATTAAAATAGATATTTCAAATAGAAGGGAAAGTTGCTAAAATATTATTGAAAAATAAAACACATATTAGTTTTCAATAAAATAATTAAGAATATTATTTTATCACAAAATTTAATTTATACTAAATTAGTACAGTTTTGTAAATTACAAATTATTATCAAATTTAAATCAGATTACATAGGAAAATATTAACAACAATTTAAAAATTGTTAAATCATAATTTTAAGCTACATTTATAAATTTAAAATATACTTCTTTAACTTACTTAAAGTCTGAAGTTTTTTCTGCAATTGTTTTAGCTCTTTCCCTTTAATCGAAAATTATTAATTTAAATTCTTATTTAACTATGTAAAATTATTTCTATGTAATAGGAATACAGTGTCCAATTGACTTTCCGTGAACAATGGATGGATGAAAGGCTGATGTTCAACGATTATAACGGTAATTGTTTTCTATTGTTTGTATGGAATTCAGTAATAATTTTAAAGTTAATAATAAGTAATATTACATAAATTAATTTCTCATAAAATTATTTATAATTAAAAATATATAATTAATTACAAGTTATTTTAAATCTGATTGGCATATCATAAAAGTTCAAACTAGGACAAGTTTAGATTTGATAACAGTTTTTGTGTGCTTTTCAAATAAGTTTTGCTTCTGATAAAAGATAGTCAAAAAAACACCATTTTTATTCAACACTATTGAATGGTATTTTGGAAAAAATTAATAATGTTTATGCACAGGTAAAATGAGGTACCTAACATTGACTGAAACTAGTAGGGTATGGATGCCTGACTTGTTCTTTTCAAATGAAAAAGAAGGCCATTTCCACAACATTATCATGCCTAACGTATACATTAGAATATTTCCAAATGGACTAGTGTTGTATAGCATAAGGTAAACATTTTATAAAGCGAGTGAAAAGTATAATTATAGCAAAAATGTAAATATTTTCCAGAATATCTTTAACTCTTTCATGTCCAATGAATCTTAAATTATATCCACTAGATCGTCAAACGTGTTCATTAAGGATGGTTAGCTGTAAGTCACATTAAAATGTTTAGTTTTAAATATATATTAGCGTTAAGTATATTTTTACATTAAAAAATAGATGGCTGGACTACTGATGACTTAGTATTCTTATGGAAAGAAGGTGATCCAGTTCAAGTCGTAAAAAATCTTCACTTACCTAGATTTACACTGGAGAAATTTTTAACAGATTATTGTAACAGTAAAACTAACACAGGTATATGCAAAAGAAATGTTTAATTAGTCCGAAACTAATTATAGACTATTAATTCATTTATATATATATATAATTAAAATAGTAATATTTATAAGCACTATTAATAAGCGTAATTATATTTTTAATAGGTGAATATAGTTGCCTAAAAGTCGATTTACTGTTTAAACGTGAATTCAGTTACTACTTAATTCAGATCTATGTTCCATGTTGCATGTTAGTAATCGTGTCATGGGTGTCGTTCTGGTTAGATCAAAGTGCGGTACCGGCTCGTGTATCGCTAGGAGTTACTACCTTGTTGACAATGGCTACACAGACTTCCGGTATTAATGCATCTCTACCTCCAGTTTCCTACACTAAAGCCATTGACGTATGGACGGGAGTTTGCCTGACATTCGTGTTTGGGGCACTACTCGAATTTGCTTTGGTGAACTACGCTTCTAGATCAGATATACACAGGGATGACATGAACAAAAAAGATTTAGAACGTACTGTATCTATGGACTGTAATGATTATGAAGATGGACCGAATTCATTCAACATGGTGAGATCCAATAGTACGGTGAGCATTAAACAAACGCAAAGAACCTGTTCAAAGTGTTTCCGTTCCAGCTATTTCATTTTTAATTTATTATATCCTATTTAGTTTTTAAATAATATAAATTAAACCTCATTCAAAAATTAAAACCCAAATGTAGAAAAATGAAATGTTCATTATTCATAATTCATTGAATGATATCAGTTAATGCATTTTTTAAATTAATTTTTCGTACTTAGAAATTATTTAACATTTAATTACTTCTTCTTTTTTCTTATTTTTTAATGAAAAGCTGCGAAATGATAATTGCATGATCCACAAGTTCTACGTTTAATCAATCAGAATGTTTCCTTGTTTTATGTATAATAAGTGAGATTGGAGTAAATTCCAAAACCCTTATCCATTATTTTTAATTTTGTGAATGATTTTAACTAGATTTTATAGTTAATAGTTTTGATTTTAGAACAAAATTTAAAAAATATGTTTTTCTTTGGTATATTTATTGGTATTTTTACCAAATAAGTAATGGTATAAAGTAAATTATTAATTAACTTATACAAAAAGATTATTCAACCTGGAAACTTTCTGATTTATTATGAATGCTCGGTACTCATCTTAAATATATAATTATAATATAAGATTATAAATCTGACAACGAAGATGGAAAGTATTCGTATTTGATATAAAAATTAGCTAAAATTTACTTTATTCTATTTAATAGTTCATTATTTGTGACAAGTAATACATTGAAAATCTTCGTTGTTTTTATTGGTCCTCTTCTTGTAATTTTATAACATTAATTATACTTTCAGAAGCCACTAATGCGTCCCGAGTTGATGATGTCTAGAGATAAAATGAGTCAAATTATTCACCAACCCCCACCAATGGACCAAAATTCGTGTTGGAAATCATGGATGTCCAAATTTCCTACTAGGTCTAAACGCATAGATGTTATATCTCGTATACTTTTCCCAATGGTATTTGCTATGTTTAATATGTCCTACTGGTCCACATATTTATTCCGCGAAGGCGAAGACGAAGAAAAATAAATCTTTCTTTCGTTCAAATATAATGATAAAATCTTTTAAGCCCTGTGATATTTGGCATCTTTCGTTGAAATTATATTCCTTACATTTAATATTTTTGTTTGTTTTTATGTTCATGATAATTTTATTGTACGTTTCACAAATTTTTATCTATATTTATATGAAGCTATTTTATTGAATATATGGTTATTAAGTTGAACACCCACTATAAATGTCCTTTTTAAAGATAATTTATTATACTAGACATTCCAGAATGAGTAGAGTAACTTATCGTGTTTTTTTTTTTTTATAAGAGCAATTAGAATATATATGTACATAACAAAATTTATAGATTACAGAATTAATTTATAAACATTTTACTGAAAAAATAAGACTTTATGTATCGTATTTCAGTTGTAAAACTAAAATCAACAATGTCAATAATAATTATTTTAATTGTTCAACTATCAACTCTCGAAATCTATCAACTAAAAAGTTTACATTTTTTATATCAAAATCACTACTGAATCTCGAATTTAATTTCAAGAAATAACCATCTAAGTTTTTAATTGAAGCTATAATGTTTTACTAGTATTTTATAGTAATTTTATATTGATAAGGATGATAATGGTATTAATTGTAATTATATTCATATTACTTATATATGTTATTTAGACAAACAAGTTGAAAACAATAGCAATGGTAGAATTATGATTTTTAACTATTTGAGTTATGCACTACTTTTAATTTTGTAATACGAATTTTTTTTTTTCCTAATAATTCCAATCACTAGTATTCAATAAACCTTATAACTTTTCTCAAGCTATACTCAAATTTCCATCATGCAAAAAATATTTACTAGTTTATATCATTTTACTAAATAATTAAACTGATAAGGGAATTTTACAAAAACTGGCAGGTTTTAGTTTATCCATTCGATGAATCCTAGTTGATTAGTTAATCTGAATTACTTTAAACAGGAGCAACATAAAAAAAACATTCTGTACATACTTAATTTACTCTCACAAATTTTACATTTCTTTAATAATTGATTATCTATTTAAGTGTATACCTTATTAAGTATACACTTAAATAGATAATCAATTATTTAAACTATAAAAAAATAGTATTCGCTCAATGTCAAGATACATTTAGTTTTTCTATAATATATGTATATTAATTAAATAACAATTGTATACAAAATATTTCAAAATCTCATTAGTGTTGTAATGGGTTCTGTCCAATTTTCTTTTTAAGATAATTTTAAATATATAGTTTTAAATTATTAAATATTTATTTTTGAACGAATTTTAAAATTCGTTAATTTAAAAATAAGTATGATAATTACAAAGAAATTGATTTCTATTTTATTGAAATCACCACAATAAGAGTAAGATTACGTTTTTTAAACATCAAAATATTTTCTTACAAAAGGTATTGATTCTATTTAAATAATTTTTAATACTTCAAATGTTTTCAAAATGTCCATTATTTTACAAAACTTTCAATAACATTAGATTTAAATCTCACAGAATATCAATTATTCTAATGATAAAAATCGAAAAACTGTTGTATAAATATTAAAATATGTTATATTATTTATAATAAACTATAAACGATTCATAGGTATGAATGTGTACATTTTTTACCCAAGAAATTATTTGTTAACTACCTATATTTTTATTGTGTATTAAATTTAATCACAACTTAGGTTACAAATATGTTAATTAATTGAAATTTTATTTTATGGTTTTAAAACTACATATGAACGAATAACTTTAAGTTGAAATAAACTAAAGGATTGTAGGATATACCTATTGTTTATAAGATATTTATAAGATTATAATTAAACGAATCAGTATAAGCTAATATAATTTGAATTGAAATATTAGATTTTCAGTATATAGACTTATGAAATCGTAATTTGTATGTCTGTATTAAAATTGTGCTTTACACATTTTCTTTGAGAAATTAAAATTTTATAATCAAATGTTTTTAATTTATTTAAAACTTCGTTTGTATTTTTTAACAATTATCCATTTAATAAAACAAAATGTATAAGTAAATCATACAATTCATATAAGTCATAAAATTTACTTTAAAAATTCACCAATTATTCTTATAGAAATAATCGCATATAGTCATCAAATTAGTTTTAAATAAATAAGACTACGATATAATAATTAGCAACTCAACCACGTAAAAAAAAATTTTATTTTAAGTAAATAGATAGTAATATTTCCTCGAAAGTTGAGACAAGGATATGTCAATTTGTATGAACTATCATAGTTATAAAAACAACATAACATCTACAAACAATTTTTTGTAAAAAAGTTTTAACCTTTTATTACATATGTAGTATACTTAAATATAAATATTAGCCATATAAAACATAGCAATTTAAGAAAACTTAGATTAACCTTAAAGCTAAATTAATTTAGAGTAACGAACGAATTTGGCTATCTGAATTATTTTTGTATTATATAACAAATTTGAACAGTTATGAGCCTTCAAAGTTAAAAAAAAAAGAAAATTAGGATAAAAGAATATAACCTCGGGCCCTACTTCTTATTATTTTATTTTGTCATGCTAAAATATAATTTTATATTTGTACTACATTCAGCCATAATAGTTTTTCGAAAACCCAATGAAACTCTTCACTATATTAATTCTATTTAATTATTCTAATCTAGTATATTCTTGCGAAACTGCAATAAAAATTTTGAAAATTATCGTTAAGCAAATATGAAATTGCACATAGAAACGCTAATACTTAATTTAATGATTTATTATTTTGTTTTTTATTATTTTCTATGTTCTTATTTTAAAAAGTTACATACATCATACAAAATTATATAAAAATGGAAATGCAAAAATATGTTTGTTCATTCATACAGTTAAATTTGAACTATTAAAATAAATTTGAATTAAAAGTTAATTTTCTTATTTGTTCAGATTTTTATATGCTATTCTATTAAAAACTACCTTTATTTTATTGAATCAAAATGGATTATCAAACATTTAAATTTTTAAGATATATATATTCTATATTATGATAAAACCTGAGTAAAAAACAGGAAAAGTTGAAACCAGTATAGATTTAAATCAGAAAACCGCTGTCATAAATAGCTTGCAAACGCATGTTTATGAAGATAGTTAAATGATAATTTTTTTTAAAGTAGGAGTTTTAATCGAGAGCCGAGAAGTCTGATTCTCTTCAATATTCCTTAATAACAAATGAAATTCAACTTAAATATAAGTAGAAACTTTTCTTTTTCTTTCCTTTTATTTGACTACTCAGTTAAAAATATAGTTAATACTTTATTTAATAGTACTAAACTAAGCAATTCTTATGTTTTATCTTTTTTAACTTTCCTGGCAATATAAGAAAAGTGAGCAAGCAATTTTTTTTTCGTTAAAAAAAAAACTTAAAACTTTAAAATAAATTTGAAGGTAACAGTTATTCTGAAATATTAACACGAATTCTGAAGTTATGAATAAAATTCAAAAACAATTTTTGATTAATAAAATCTAATGAGAAAAATTAAACTTTTGTATTTATTAATTATTTCCTAAATGAACCAATTAAAGTCATGTACACTTATAACTGCAGTTATAAGTATATATGATTTTATCCTAGTAGAAAAATAAAAGCTAATGGTTAAAATAAACCAATTTCAATGATTTTTTTTATATTTTCTTTACAAGAAAAAACTTAGCGAATATTTTTTATAAAAAGTAATAAATAAAATTTACATTGTAGAATTAACAGTTTTAAACATTTTATTTTTAAAATTTAGTTGTAATCTTATTTAAAATAATCGTTGTGAAGCTGAGAAGGTATTAATTTTACCATGATGTATTTCTTTGATATTACTTTTTTTGATTTTTTGTCTATCACTACCTTTTCTCAGCTCTCACTGGTCCGATTTTTCTCAACGATACGTTAAAAAATCATAAATCATATCTAATTGAAGACGTCATCCTTAAAATTTTTTCCCTCATTCCCAGTAAATGGTGAAATTCCCCAAAAAATTATGATTTTTAAAATCAGTAAGTTTCAACATTTCTCCTTAAAACATTCTTCACTTTTTCAAAAATGAAAGAATCAAAATAATTTTTTAGAATTAATATCTTAGGTATTTTCCTTTAATTTTATATAATTTTTTTGAAAATCTAAACCCTTTACCTGTCCATAGGGAAGATTCAAAATAGCAAATTTTACTCAAAAATATAACTTTTTACACTTAAGTTTTCAACATGTACCAGAAATACTCTAAGCTTCAAAAAATATTAAATTAAAGTCTATATTATGTTTTATAAGTTAAACAAATATTGTCGACTTACTGCTTATATGTAAACGGTCCCCGGAGTTAAATAATAGATATTATTTTGTTGTAAAAAATCATCTTTTTCCGTGTTGTTATATTTTTTTTTCTATTAACTTGTATATATTTTGGATTACATGGTATTGTCCTAAGGAAGGATAGGGGTAAGTAAAATAATGCTTATATTATTTACTTCGTGTTACAAAAATAATAATTGTCCCAAAGTCTTATCTTCTATGTGCAAATAGGTACCATAGTTAAAAATTATGCATTTATGTTTTTAAATTTTATATCTTCAACGTTAAAATGCTATAACTTTTTGAAAAATCTATAAACAATCAAATTTTATTATAAATACTTTATATAAACCTTTTTCATCCGACATGTATTTTCTTTAATTGGGCTATTTTTCTTTATACAAGAAAGGGTTCACATCTTAAAATATTTGAATACAAAATAGAAATTTTTCAACTTAACTTTTAAAAATAATCCGAAAATTTTCCAAGACATAAACATATATATTATCATCATCACCTATTAAAGGCCCTGTTATAGTGCCCGATTAACTTTATTTTTCTTGATTCAATCACTTTCATTAGCTATCTTTCTTTTCGTACTTCTTTTAGCACTTGCTCATTTCTTTTCTTGTCTATCCATTTTTTCTTTGGCATTTTTCTCCATATCCATTTAACGCTTCTAGTTTGCTAACATAAACATATACACAATTAAAACTTATATTATTTACTATAAATTTTCCTGATGATTTTAATATTATATGAAAAAGGCTCCCAAAGTTAAACAAAATATTTTATTTTTGTAAAGAAAATTAATTCTTGCGTTTTTATTTTTTTACATAAATCTGTCATTACTACTTGGGTTATTGTATTGTAACTCAAAACTTAAAATAATAAAGAGAAGGTATATTGGATAAAAGGTGAATATTATTTTAATTCAGGGTGTGATTCTAC